AGCCTCAGAATTTAGCTGCTCAGCAGCCATGTTCACAGAGTGCACAGACAGATCGAGGTATGATCTGCTAAGCTGTACTGAAATGCTTGACTGCCTGCCCTTCTGTGGTAATTGCAGTGGGTTATGGTGGACTACTTTTTTTTTCATCGTGGAATTCCGTTTAAGGTAATGTCCTGTGTGAAGCAGCAGACAGTGCAAGGCAGGTTCTTGTTGTAGTTGGCCGGTGTCAAGTTCTGCCTTTGTACTGGAGACTTGTAACTTAGGTTGATTTTCATAGGCATAACAAAAGCACATCCAGATGGTTGAAAGGATTAAAAAGTATTCAGTCTGCTGGTATGGAAAACATCAGTGGAAACACTTACTCTGGCAAAAGATTAACAAAACAAAAAAACTTGTTCTTTATAGAGGGCAGCACATCTATAAGGATTGCTACAACTCTATCTAAAATTTATCTAATAGGCTTTCACATTCAGTACTTGCATGCAAACTGTAGAAGATAGCAAAGCACCAGGTTCTGCTTGGAATATAAACTGGAACCCACCCAGAAGGGGCTGTAGAACTATCCAGACAAGTTTGTTTTGTGAGTTACGGTTGTTTTTGTTAGCTGTAAAACTCACCACTTTCCATTCCAGGTAGAGACCTTCTTCTGTATAAAGCATATAATCAATCCTCCTCCCGTTTCCTTTCAATGATGCCTTCCTCCCCTTTTGACTGGAATTGTGGTTCTTGCTGGTGGGATAGACTAAGTATCCTTTCCTTCCTTCTTCACTTTCCAGCACCCTATTACATAAAAAAAAGGCATTAGATATTGGCCTGTTCTGTCCCTTAGTGCATTACGCTAGCTCGCTGAATCCCCGGTAAGGGCAAGAATGCCTGTCCAGAACTGCTAAATACACAATGTGAAGCACACCTCCCAGGTGTCTCAATATGATGTTGTACCTCTGCTAACAGTGCTCTTACAGCCTCGTGGTGGGTTTGGCATCGCTGATGCCATACAGTGGGCCTGCACACCTACCCTTATAGCCAGGAGAATAAAAATGTGAGAGCAGGCACCTGTCCGCCCGCTGTGTGTAGTATCCTGTAGTAAAGAGTAGAAACGCCTGAAGGTCCCCCTTTGTCTTGTACAATAATTCTGTGGTGCTATGCAGTATGTTTGCAGTATATTTTTGCTGTTTTATTGGATGTAAAAGAAAACTCATGTTACTATTTCATGTTCTATTTAAAAGATCTTCCGAAGTAGCACTAGACAACAGACAGTTGTGCACGTGAAAGTGGAGCTGCATGCAGTAACTGCATGCACAGGGTAACACGCCAATAGTTTATATCAAGTACAATCACAGCTGTTTTGCATGGTAACTGTGCCAAAGAGAGAGCCAGATGAGGTCGTGTTTCTTCTGTTTCAAAATAAGAAAGCAAATGTTTTTCAAAGTCTCTTCCCTGAAAATCATTTTCCTTTATTTACCTGCCAAGCCCTGAGCTCAAGGTTCTGTGATTTCCTGTGTAAGAGTTGATGATGCCATTAGGCTACATCATCAACTGTTGCAGGAGAACCACTGAGCCATGAACTTGGGTTCTAGCAGGTGTAAAGCCTTTAATTTCACCTTGGGGAAAAAAAAAATAAAATATTTTTGGTCACCAGGTTTCTGACTTTGGATGACTTTTTGATGATTGTTTTTCTTTGGTTGTTTTTTTTATGCATGTGAGTGTACAGAATGAAGGAAAAACAAGAGAAAAAATGTGAGATTGTCATGATGTCTTAGAGGTTTAGATTCACATGGTTTCTTTGTCAAGCTTTGTCTCTTTGGAAAGCTCCGGATGGTGACAGGGAACGTAGCACTTGTTACAGTTGATTAGGTCTCATTAACGTTATAATCAGTAAGATTGGGTCAATTGATGCCTGCTAGTACTTTATGTGCCTTCAGAAAATAACAGTGACAAAATTACGGTCATATAGCTGGTTATTTAATCACAGTGTTTCTAACTCCCTTTGGACTTAGTGAAGTATTGAAGGTTCTTAGAGTTTATTGTAACCAATTTATAAAAGTAAGCTTCCTTTTATGTATTATTCAATTTCAGACTGTCATCTAATAACTCATGTTAAATTAGCTTACTCCCTGCACCCCAATTGCAAGCTGATTTTACGAAGAGCTACTGCAAATGATTGACTTCCTGAAATCCTTTTTCTTGATCCAAGAAAGCAAGCTCTTTGATGGAACTGACCTCTTTCAAAAATTGTATTTATTTATATTTGGCAAAGCCAATTAAGAAACAAAGTAGAAGAAACTGCTGATTACTGCTGCAGTACTGTGCACAAAAATGTGCATGCATTAATTTGAAAGATGAATTTGTTTTAGCTTCATCTCTTTCCCTTTGAATGTCTGTGAACACTAGGTATTCACTTAACTTTCACAATTGCTCATGGAAGAGAAAAGTTAATCTCAAATACGTGGGGAGAATTTATTATACTTGGGCATGCACGTGCTTCTGACTAAAACTGCTATCACGTACACATAACAGTTTACTTTTTGTATCTGCCAAACATTCAGCTATGCCATACTAATGGTTAAGTACTAACAACTTAAGTGAACATAACTAATTATGACTGTTGCACAACTAAATCTGATTTATTTTACTTTTTTCAGAACAATTGCCTTATCTCCTAGGACACAAAGAAAGGCAAGCTAGAAAGGTAGTTGGAACTTCAGTTTTTCCTTTTTGGAGTTACTTGGGACTGAAGCTCTTCAGTTTAAATGTGAAAGTTGTATTTCTCTGGACACTGGTTTTGTAGTACTGCCTGCAGCTGCCACGAACAGAGGAACATGAAGAGTGGTGTTTGTAAGGGAGCCATAAACTTACTCTGTAAGGGAGCATCTCTCAGCCAGGTGGGCAGCGCCCGAGTTAAGGATAGCTCTTAGTGGTGGTTCTGCCTGTAGCCCAGGATGGGGAGCCACTACCTGGCAGCGGAGACAGGCAGTTTTGTGGAGTCTAGAAAAATTTGCTTTTAAATCGTTTCTTAGCTGTCTTGTAAGGTGCTCTTCTGTGCCAGACCGTTCAGAGTTTAGAGACAAGTGGCTTATTCCAGTCCTTGCCTGAAGGTGAGCGTTATCTTTGTGACACACGATCAGTTGCGTACATTTCACGAAGCCTCTCTGAATAGAACCTTGTGCAGCTCCCAGCATTGCTGGAGGGCCCCAGATGATTACATCTAGCTTATTAATTGTTCTATAATTATAAATGGCTTGCTCATTATTTGTATCAAGTAGGTTTGTCTATTCCAATGTTTTACGTATGCTGTACTTAACATTAAAGAGATACTTAAGAACTAGTTGTTCTAGTGCTTTCATGGCCTAATTAGTTTGATAATGTGAACTACTTAATTTTATTTATAAACTACAGAAGAGTGCTGATGGAGAAATAATTCTCTGAAGAGCTTACGTTGCCAATTTCAATGTCTGCTTTAAATATCTGTAAAGCTTGATCAAAGTTTTACTGAAAAATTTAAGAGCTATTCGATTTTAGGCTGTACTCTGTTTTGCTGCGTATATGGACAACCCTTGTGAGCTGGAAAGTGCTCAATAGCCCTCCATAGTCCCTCAATACTTCACTTATGTATGTTAGGAAAAATGCTTTTTAAAAATGCTTAAAAAAATCTTTAAAGCCCAGATTCCATTAACGACTTTGAATTTTACTAAATTGATTGGTAATTTCTACAATTACGTTTACCAGTCCCTTGCAGAGGTGGGAGGACTGGCTCTCCTGGCCTCTTGTGGAAGTAATGGTTTCTCTAATATAAAAGCACCTTTACATAATTTACATGTTCAGCTCCTAGCTTTCCTGCAGATGTGTATAAAAAGCTAGTTGAAATTCCTGTTAAGTATTTTTTTTCATTGGTTTAAAAGAAAAACACATTGGAGAAAATGTAAGCCACTTTTAATAGGCAAAAAATTCTTGTGTATATTCTGCTACCAAAATTCAAGAATATTCTTGAGTTACCTCATAACTGAGGTGCTGTGCATATACATAGGTAGCATGAGTAATATTCTAACAATTGATCATTTAATGGCTATTTATCATTCATGTTATTTGTCAGTGGAAGTTAATTGCTAAATACAAGCAACTCTTCAGGGAATAAAACGATACCCCCCAAATTAATTTGGTGACAGATTGTCTCAAAAGGCTGCTTGAAAACACAGATTTTATTTTTTAAAGAGCTCCAAGCTTGCTCTTGGAACCATAAAATAGAATGTTACACCCACATACAGATTTGCATTTGCAAACTTGATTGCAGAGGCCAAATTACCTTACTTTTGCTTCCCAAAAATCCTCTTCACATGTACTAAATTCATGTTTTTCAACACGTGAATAGAAATGCCTAGAAAATTTGCAGGCTTTTGAATGTGCAAAGTGTGACTTGCTGCAACAAATCCTTATATTTTGAATATAAACTAAACCTAGACCTTAGAGTTTAAGTAAGATCCTAAATGCTAAACGTCCTAGACCTTAGATTAAGATCCTAGATGTGTTCAAAACATACCAAGACCACCAGGGGTAGCCTGTACTGCACTTGGTCAGTAAAAATGCTCTTACAAATTAATAACTTTTGTATTTGCCATAAGTCTACTAGCTCAAAACAAAAATACTGTTTCTCAGTATCAAATCCTCTTTCAGTCATTGCCATACTAGTATCACTGAACGATGATCAGCCATTCCTAGTTATGTGTGATGTGCTATTTTAATTAATTCCTCTACTTGTGAGTTTGCTTTTTTCATATTCATCAAGTTTTGCAAGCTTTCTAGCATGGGTTGTTTGGTTGGGGGGTGTGTTTTAAACCTCATGATTTTTTTCATTTGAATAAAAGTATGTTTCCTTTTGTTTCTGTCCTTTGCAGAGCCATCACTGTGGAACTGGCTGCCTGGCGAGGGGTTTTCAGACTGCGTACCCTTTTCAGTCATGCTCAGAGTTCTTGGCCTGTGAGCCTGTCCAGGTAGGACCAACTCTAGAGGCAAAAACACTGACTGCAGTTGCTCTCAACTTTTCACCCACTGAAGCCAATTTCAACAGACTGTTGAGAAACAGACGCTTTTCCTTCCCGTTTTTCCCTCTGCCCCAAGACACCCCGAGGAAAAAATAATTTGTTTTTTACAGTCCTTGAAACACCTCTCAATTTGTGAAATGTTAAATAGCAAGCAATTAACTGGCTTTTTAAAGAATCACTTAGAGCATGTGGGAGGATCAGGAGTTGCATACTTCTGTAGGTTATCTGGAGTGCACACTTCATCATCATATAATCCTTCAGGATCCAGCAAGGTACCTGTGAACAGAAAGGGAAATGTGACTGTCCCAGCATGCAGTCTGTTACTGGCCTCTCAGAAAACTTCTTGGGACACAGGTATGTGAAGACTGCGTACGTGGCAGGGGTGGGACACGCCGCTGTTCTGATTTGAAAGCTCTTGATATTCACTTCTGTGAATTCACAGAAATAGTAACCATGGGAGTACTTCTTACAGTGCCTGCATCTCACACCTGACTAAGTGAGGCTTTTAGTCTGAGGGATTCTTTATTTTCAGAACAAATGTAGTAACATAATGGTATAATGGTAACAGTGCTGATGAGGATACGTGGCCTTAGTACCTCAGCTATTCCTTTGCTGTCTCCCTCCATATGATTTCTGTTCCATTTTACCTAAGCACAGTCCCTACCCTAAGCCTCTTAGGTTTTCCCAGCAGATGTTCCAACCTAAACTTGAGCTTCGTGTTTTCTGTTGCTTCTCTTTTCTATACTCTGAATGCTCTCTTGTTCCTTAATAATTCTTGACTTAACCGTTTCTTTCATTTTCAACCTATATGCACAGGATATTAGCAAAAGGTAGTAGGTTCTTCTAGTGGCAGGGAACTAGCCCACGTGTTCCTGCCGGTCTAGATGAGCAACCTTCGTTTAGTCTTCACAAGCAACTCCTCTATCCCAGCCTCCCTAAAACCACCTTTCAAAATGTTGTCTCTGCCCTTTGATTTTCCTCAGGAGCAGAGAAACTTTTTTTCCCCTGCTATGACAGAGTAAAGCCACATTCTTAAGTAGTTCAAAATTCTTAAATTTAGCATCTTCACCGTTGTAACTGCTCCTCTGAAGAAAAACTAGTTCCTGATCTAGAACTTTACTGAGCTCAAATGAGTTTCATCAGATCTGAGTTCTGTGAAATCTGATATAAGATGAACTCCGCAAATTCACAATAACGTTAAAATACTGGTAAATCCTCACTTACAGTATTTCTGTAATGCCAAATGGAACACTGATTAAAAGCTGCATGTTTTTGTTGCAGGAAGAAAGCACAGAAACAATAACTTGGCTCTCTTTTTTTGCAAAGTAATCTAGAGGTTATTTAAGAAGTACAGTTAAGTGTGGAAAGGCATTCAATAGCTTAATGCCTAAACTCTAGAATATGGACCTGAGTTTGAGATGTCTGCTTCTTGATTAAAATTCAAAACATTGTTAAGATTCACAAACAATATTGTTACTACATTAGAGAAATACCCCTTGCAAATATTTGGTCTCCACAGACTGTCACTGCCAGTTAGCTGCTTGTGGGTGTTCTCTGAGTGACAGACAAGAACATGTTCATACAATGATGGCCAGAGAGGGTCTTACCGATTGCCCATGGTTTATCCTCTCCAGGACCAATTCGACATGGGTCTTTGTAGTGTGTAAACAGAGAATGCTGTTGCTCCAGCTTGTCCTCTGCAGGGAAAGAACAAGGCCAAGAAAAAGCACATCAGCCATACATTGTTAAACCTGTGGATAACTGTATGTTCTGCCACAAAAGAAAAGGTAAACTCCTCCTTCCTACTCAGTGTTCATGTATTTTTTAGAGGACTGATGCGAACTGGTTCAGTGGTTTTACTGCACAGCTGTATCATGTCTTAACCAGAAATTCCAACTAATGCTTGCTAATAACAGTGCTTTTTCCTACAAAGTCTTTCTATGAAAGACAGATGGGGAAGTTTCTAGCTGTAAACTGAAGGTTTTCTAACATACTGACTTACCCTGCCATTTGGGCCAACCCCACGTTGGCATTGCTTACACTTAGACAAAACTTTTGTTGAGATCACATGATGGAGATTTGGACTGACTTCAAAATGGCACCAGAAATGGCTGTTTGGGGGCATATATACACATTGCAGTGAATTTGAAGATAAGAGCTAGTACTTTGCTTGTTTCAGAAGAATTCACTGAATGCTTTTCAAGATGTAATAGGTAAGACAAAGGACAGGCAATTGGTAATTTGTTTGAGATATTATCTACAGCATTACAGACATTCTAAATATAATTGTCATGATCTCTCAGCTTTCAAATTAATTTCTTCCTAATTGTTACTGTGCTCCTTGCATTTAAAGCCTAACAGTGCATCAAGCTCCTAGGATTATTTATTATAACAGATATCCTACAAAAACATATACATCACAGTTTCAGATGCAGAACACACAAATAAGCAAATTCTAGTTCTGTGCACACCGCTTAACATAGCGATCATTTTATGTAGGAGCGAGTACAATTAGAACTTGAAAATACCAGCTGCTCCAGTTCCCTTTTCGTTAAATGGCAAGGAAACTGGCAATAGCTCCTGATAACTAACTTTCTTGCAGCACTTGTACCTTTTACAAGGGTAAAACTTCTTAGCAACACTTGAACTTTTCTCTTGGGATCAATGGAATATTCACCTGCATTTGGACCTGCTGCTGTTATTTATCACTGTCTATTGTCAAGGCAACAGAATATGTAAGTAGGCATGAAAATGGACTTCTCTAAAGTCAGAAGCCAAACTTTGAACTGTAAGCTGTATGCGTGACAATGCAGCTCACGCACTGTAGGGATTGAACTGATTCTCCTAGTGCAAAATAACGTTCTTGCTGAGTAAAGGAGTTGTTAACCTCTCCCTGTTACGGAGGAAGCACAACATAAACGGTAATGTGGAGTACAGTAGTTATAAGAGACCAGGGCACCTGGCCATTTTGTCATTAATAGTGATTAATAAAGCCAATTTTCTTTCAGCTACTGCATCTGCACCAGCTGATCTACCTCACTATGTGATTCCAGCCTTATCCCCACTCTCTAACCAGCCCTTTACCTTGAGAACATCTTCATAATAGCAAGGAGACTGAAAAATGAATTTTCCAGGGTATCCTGGAGCTGTGGCAGAGGACTGGAGGACTGAGCTCCCTAAAATTTGCCAGGTATGCAATGCAGAGAATTGCTCTTTGTCTGAACATCCAGCTGGATTCTTTAATGTTTGTGGTAGAGTCTAAGATGTAATCTGTGCAGTTCTCCATTTCTTCAGGCTTTCCCTTGGTATGTCATATGGCTACAAAACTTACCTCAAAACCAAGACAGATCAAATTTTGTCATGATTAATTTGCCACCGTGGTGCTGGTCGTTTACAATTCAGAGCTGATGAGGCAAACTTCAACCCATCTGATCGGAATGCTTTTTACGTTATACCAAAAGGTTTAAAAACAATCACGTTTTACACAACTGAGTCCAAATCAACTTGACAGTAAGACAACTTTCTAATGATGTTGCCCATGGTGAGAATTTACTGTGTTAATGTTGGGTTAATGTTCTCTAAAGCGGGGAGGGAGGGAGCTGAGTTTCAGAAAATCTGTCATAAGCATAAGGTTACTCATGGACCAGGAGATCTTTGAAAACTGTACTGTAAATACATCTAAGAATAGAAGCTTGGTATTTACTGCCACAATATTAATTATTTGCTGTATCAGTCTGTGGAATAGGAAAGAACACAAATGTACAAAGAATTATAGAAAGCTGATTATTGAGGGGGGTGGGCCAAACCAGTTAAATTGTTGCAATCCTAACAAATGTCCCTAAAACAATGAGTAATGTAAAATGGACAAGACAACTTGACAACTTTAAAACAGTGCATTAATCTTGCTTAGTGCATAAGAAAACAAAGCAATCTACACATAACAAAATAGTCAGCTTAATTGCAGTTCCTAGGCTGAGTGAATTTTAAAAGGGAGTGGAGTGTAAATAAGTTACAGAGATAGCAAGAATAAAATGTATTTTTATAACCTACTTTTTAATCATCTTTAGTATTAGTTGCAGCATTTGCATCTATTACTTAAGAAAGCAAATAGTTGTGTTTGCTTTAAAAAGACAGGTCACAACAGCATTAATTATACTCTGTACTTTTCATTCAATATACTGGTTAGAGTGCCAAAACCTCCCAGACAGAGAATGCTGACTGTATGTGCTACCTCAGAGCTTCACTCCTGTGTGTGTTCATGCTGCGTAAACCCATTCAGCTGCACACCCTGATGGGGCAGTCTCCCCTTTGGCATGTAGTGAATTACTTATTTCCTTGAAGGGCATACTTGCCTTCAGGCCACTCCATCCATCCAACAGTGAACAGTCACCTAGCAATGGATGTGTCTGTCTGGATCCCCCAGCTCCTGTCTCCTCCCTTCACTGGGACTGCTGGAATTGCCTCAGCCTGTTTGTGTAGCAGCTCAAGACCTGCTATTAACTACACATCCGTCTTTCCTTCCCTAAAAACTCACTACCACTACCACCCTTGTATTTTGTCCTAATTTGTGTTTTTTTTTTCACTACAGTATTCTGTAGTCATTACTGCTTACTGTTCATCTCCTCAGTGCATAATGGATTCTTCTACCAGGCAGAGCACTTGCCAGCACCTTTTCTGGCCCTTCTGAGTTTACTTCAGATCACGTAGTTGATAGATTTTACCTTTTGTAGAAATGAGCTAGAAATAAAGAGAAGGGCTGTTTTGGGTTGCTGGTCTTTTCTACTCAATTAAATGTTTCTCTAGCGTTGCTATAATCTTCCATTACAAGCGTCTGATACAAACCATGAGATTAGAGAATGCGATTTTTTTTTGAGATCAGACAATGCTTGTTTTGCTTTGCTTTGCTTTATTATTGGTGCAGTTGTTGCTGTCAGTCTCAATTACTTAGGCTTCTTACGAAGACTACAGAATTCACATGTGATATTCTTCACACGTTTACCTGTTAAATCCACAAACTCACTGGTCTGAATTGCTGAATCCCAGTTTGAATGCTGCAGCTTGAACTCACCTGCACTTCACACATTCTCTCTGGTAACACAGCAGAGGTGAAATCCCTGTAATTAAGCTCACCCCTCACTGTACCTGGCTTGTGTACTTTATCCCAGTACTGCAGTTTTGGCCCAGTCACACAAAAGGCCTCTCAGCCATCAGCTTTGCAGGAGGTTGGCTGCTAGACACTGCTGATCCATTTGCCAGCTCCAAACCAGCAGAGATGGTTAGCATCATATAAAGCCAGCAAGGATCTCTGCTGGATGCATGAACTGTACCAAGTGGGAAGGCAGAGATGATACAAAAACACAGCCCTGCACTCTGAGTTGGCAGTGTAACTCTTAACAGAGCAAAATATCTGTGTTTGGAAAAGGCTACCATTTGTAAATCTATCACTCATTAGTTATGATTCTGTGGAATTCTTCTAGTGTCCACAGCACCCAAATACAGAAAAATAAACTCATTAACATTTAAAAAAAAAAAAAAATTACACAGCATCAGTTATTTTTTTCCAAGATTGATTTAGCAATGTTGAGTTCTCTCTGTAGCATTAATCTCCCATGCATATGTATATGCACTATCAAATTACTTTTATAACTGCATGAATTCAGTACTTTTTCTCCACTATAATCCCATAGCATATGCCTCTTAAGTGAGTAAATAAAATTCTATGACAATAGGTGTCTTTTAGCACACTATAGTAATATTAAGTAAATTCACTCAAGTAAAACCACTGGATTCATCTTCCTTGTTATTACTGCACAGCACTAACTACTGCTCTCTGTGCCTTAAAAAAACATCATATTTACTTAGAGGCTGAGGTTGCGTATCCTTGGCTCATCACAAGGCTGGTACCTAGTTTAGAATTTTCTGTATCAAGTCCTCCCTTGCACAAGTCAGTCACAATTTCGTATACTACTATAACCCGCAAGATGAACAGATCAAGAACTTTCCTATTTCTTGTTCAAGTCAGTACACACTAGGAAAAGACAAAGCTTGTCTTACCAGAGGAGCAGTTATCGAAATTGAGATCTCCACAGATTACATCAAAAGCCACCAGCTCCTCTGGATTGGCTGTGCTGGAGGAGGAGGTAGATTTTCTGAATTCAGACAGCCAATCTTGAAGCATATCCAGTTGCTCACACCGAACAGTAGTGTCTCCTGTAGCAAAGAAAAAAAGAAATACCAAGAAATAAGATCTTGTTTTAGGATGATGTTCAGATCACTGCATGCCGGCGTGAGTCCAGCAAAATCACTAGTGCCAGTGCTGTTCCATTGGTGCGAGGTCTCTGTAGAGCTGCGTCTGCACCTCAGTTGTTTCAGTCAGAGAATGTAGAGATTAAAGCAAACTAGGAATAAATAAAATTTATAAAAATCAAATAAAAAATAAGAGCCATTCCAATCTCATTTTCTTTCCCCTTATCCATCAAACATAATCCCTTCAACAGAGCACATGCAGGCAACAAAATTAAAGGCCTACCATTTCTTTAAAATAACAATGAAAAAAAAAAAACCCTTAGCACACACAGTGCTAAGTCTGCACAAGGCCAAATTAAGCCTTGAAGCCAGATTTATAAGAGCTCTAAGTGGTACCTTAGTCTTATGCGGCCTTGACTGCACATGGAGAAATTTCATCTATATAATTAGCTATATTAAAAATTCATACATAGAATGACACTAGGTGAAAGTCCAGCTTTTCAGTTAAGAAATACTGCATCTCAAGTTGTATGTACAGAAGAAAATTTCTTTAGTGGCATGGTTTTAACCATTTCTTTCTATGGGATACCTGATACAGAATGAGTGGATAAAAGTCATTAAAAGCCTTTGTAAATGCTCTGGCAAAAATGGCAAAATTTTGAAATTAATACTAAGGGGTGAATTTCTGTAGTTGTTTAAATGTGGAATAATTACTGTCATAAATAAAATGTAGTCGTATTATTAGCTATGCTATTACTAGACATCTTGAAAAAAGGGTGCAAAATTAAGAAATGGCACGGATAATAGCATGCTCAGTACATAATGCTTAGCCCAAGAAAGCTCCAGCTAAATAGAAACTGAATCAGAAATGTTCAACCATGCGTGATTTGCTACAATCCTAAACAATTAAATGAAATATTGAAAAGAACATGACCAGGAAAAGAGACCTTTAAGTAGGTCCTGACACTGACTCATCTCTTCAGACTGTTAATTCAAACTGCAAGTAAACTGATTTTTTTTCTTCTACTCATCAGTTATTCCCCACAACTCTGTAACAGTTGGGCTGTAATATACAAGCTTGTACAAGTGCTCTTTGAATCTCTTCCCAAATCTACAGTTTCTAGTGCTTGTACGTCACGTTTAGATAATACCCTAATCACACAGCTTGACACAAATCCAGTCCTGTATTCTTGGAAAAAACCCTCACTACCACAGTGCACGTGAAGTGCAGAAGTGCACTGCACATATTTACTGATTATGCATACTGATATACTAGACAGCACAAGAAAGCTTTGCAGTTAGAGAAAAGCACAAGAAATAGGTCACATGGAATAAATACAGCCTGGAGCAGGTGATACTAACTACAAACGGTGTGTGACTAACATATACATTCTGCTTAACTAAAGACACGGATGAAATTACAGCATCAGGGAAAGCATGACGTTCCAGGGGGCCTCTGGCAATCATCTGGTTCATCCCCTTTGCTCAAGCAAGGTCACCTCATGCAGGTTGCTCTTGACCATGTCCAGTTGGGCTTTGACTGTCTCCATGGATGGAGAGTCCACAGCCTCTGAGCAACCTGCTCCAGTGCTCAGTCACCCTTTCTATTAGAAACAAAACAAAACCTTCTTTGTTAAAATACCACTTCATGCATTTCAGTTTGTGCCCGTTGCCTCTTGTTCTGCTACTGAGCACCACCAAGGAGAGTCTGCCTCTAACTTCCGTACAGCCTCCCATCAGGTATTTATACACTTTGGTCAAAGATCCTTTCAGAGCCTCCTCCTTTTGCATTATCTGTATCTTTCTATCCTGGCTTATCACCTTAGGCCACCACATTCTTCTGGCCTGCCTTTGTTTCCTTGCAACTTTTAGCATGGTGCCTATTGTCAAGTAATTTATCTTGCTCCCCACAAAGTCCGGATTATTGCTTAACTGTCTAAGACA